AGGAAGCCTCCCTTCCACCTCTCCTTGATTTACAGATGACTGTCTTTCCCTGCGGCTTTGTGCCGCCTTCTCTGTCCATGTCTGTCTCTGTGTCCAAATTTCCCCTTTCTCTAAGAACGTCAGTCACATCGGAGGCTGGGCCCCCTCCCTGACCTCATTTTAACCAAAAATGCTCAGACTTTATCTGCAAATGAGGCCGCCTCCTGGATGGGGGTCAGGATTCCAGGGCGAGGAGCACACAACGCAACCTTTACCTCGTCCATCCGGGGACTTGCGGATTCTTACGTTATCAATTCATCACTGTCACTCTTTACAGTTAAACTGTCCCAGATTTGGCCAGCGTGAGCTCCTGGGAACAGAGTCCTGTGTCATCTTTGACACAGCCCCCAGATTCTGTGAGCACTTTCTTACTTGCTGGCACACAAAGACGCCCCAGCCTCTACCTTTTCTACCTGGGGACCGGATCAGCCATGTCTTCCAGAGAGAGACATTCGCTGGCATCTGTGGTTCCCGTTCTGGCATTGCTCTTCGGCCACCTCACAGCCAGAGCTAGAGAGGAAAATCGCATAAACAGCCGCCACGCGTATCCCAGTACCTCTGCTTCCAGCCCACCGTCCCCGGGTTCATTCTCTCCTTCCCCTTTCCGTATTTTCAGTTCTCTTCTCCATTAGTGAGAAAATAACTTCTGTTGTCCTTAGTTGCAAAATCTGAGCATACAGGAAACCTCTTATTTTGCGCTATTATTGGTCACTATATGAAGACTTGGGGATGCCTTTCTGTAGAGAATGATTTGTTCATTTGTTTTGATAGTACGGGGGACTGAACCCAGGGCCTTTGCACTGAGCTACATATGGAGCTTTTCTTTTTCCTTTCTTTTCTTTTTTTCTTTTTTGAGACAAGGTCTTGCTAAATCACTTCCCAGGCCTAGCAACTTTCCTGCCTCAGCCTCCCAGAGTGTTTTATTTTAATTTTGTTTTTTTGTTTCTAATATAAGAAAAAAAAAGAAGGAAAGGGGGTCCTGGAGCCCAGGGAAGATCATGAGGGAATCAAGAAGGCCCGTAGGAGTGTGGCCCCCTGAGCACTCTGCCAGGGACCCCCTGCCAATGGCTTCCCCCCGCAGCCTGCTTGCCAGAAGCTTGCCCATCCCTTGGGGAAGACTAGGGGAAATCCCAGCATTCTCCACTTTCCTGTGCTCTTCCAGGTTCCAATCTGACAAATCAGATGGCTGGACAAAAGTCAAGTCCCCGGGGGAGGCAGACCAGGTCTCAGACGCTGGGTGTGGCCCAAATACAGCTACCGCAGCCCCATACTTGGATGAATATTTTAAAAACCTCCTCAGCTTCTTTTCTCCATTTCTGCCCCCACCATACCCCACTGTATTCACTACTGGGCATTGAGCCCTTGGCCCTTATACTGACCGACATCTCTGGCCTTTTTTATTTTTTGAGACAGTCTCATTAAGCTGCCAAAGCTGGGCTCAAACTGGCAGTCCTCCTGCCTCAGTTTCCCGGAAACAAATCATTCTCTGGGATTATAGGCCTGTGCTACCACACCGGCTCCTGTTTCTTTCTTTATAATTGAGATAAAAATCCAGAAACACAAAATTCATCTTTTTACCTCTTTAAAGTGAGCTAATTCCAGTACGCTTCCATCGTACCCCAAAAGAAATCCCATACCTGGTTCCTCCCTCCTCCCAGGCCTTGGCAAACACCAGTCTACTTTAAGTCCCTATGAATTTGCCTATTCTGATCATTTCCTATACATGGAGTCATATAAAATGTGGTTTTAGTGTCTGGCTCCTGTCATTTAATGTAGTGTTCTCAGGGTTCATCCATGCGGCATCTGTTAGTACATACTTTATTACTCTTTAGAACCAAGTAATATTCTATGGTATAGATAAGCCACTGTTTCTTTATCTATTTATCAGTTGATAGAAATTTGGATTCTTTCCACTTTTTGGCTGTTATGAATAATTGTGCTATAAAGATGAGCATGCAAGTTTTTGTGTGAGTATATGTTTCCAATTTGATTGGGTAAACATCTATACTGGGATTATTGAGTCATATCAGAACTCTCTTTAAGTGTTTGAGGAACTGCCAAACTTTTCCACGGTGGCCAAGCAATAAATGACGTTCCCACCTCTTTGCAAACACTTGTTATTTTCCATTTTTAAAATTGTGATTAAAAAAAACTCCATGTACTGTAAAATTTACCTTCAACCACTTTTTATTTAGTTATTTTTTGTTTTTGTTTTTTTGAGACAGGGTCTCATTATATAATTCAGTCTGGCCTTGAACTCTCAGCAATCCTCCTGCCTCAGCCTCTCAAGTGCTGGGATTACAGACATGTACCACCATGCCTGGCTGCAACCATTTTTAATTATGCAGTTCATTTTTTTTCTTTTCTTTTTTTTTTTTTTTTTTTGGTACCTGGTATCAAACTCAGGACCTTACGCTTGCCAGGCAGATGCTGTTTAACTGTACAGTTCAATAGCCTTAGCTATATTTACACATTATGTAGCAAATTTCTAGAGTTTTTCTATTTTGTAAAATGAAAACTCCATACCCATAAAACAACCCCATATTCCTCTTACACCTGTTTCCTTTGAGTTTGACTATTTTAAAAATTTCATATAAATAAAATCACACAGGATTTGTCTTTATGGCTGTCTTATTTCTCTCAGTAGGACGTCCTCAGAGTTCATCCAGGTTATGTCTGTAACAGGATTTCCTTCGATTTTAAGGCTAATACTCCTTTGGAAGCATAGACCACACTTCCTTTAGCCATTTGTCTGTTGATGGGCGTTCTAGATGCTTCTGCTCCTTGGCTGATGTAATTCTGTCACAAATATTTGTGTGTAAATATCTCTTTGAGATCTTGCTTTGAATTCCTTTGCTTCTACACCAAGAAGTGGATCAATGGTAACTGTATTTTTAGTATTTGGAGAAACCACTAGAGTGGTCATGCCATTTTATATTCCCACCAGCAACACTCAGGCTTCTGATTTTCCCATGTCCTCACCAATATTTATTCCTTCCTTCCTTTCTTTCATTTCCTTCCTTTCCTGCTTCCTTTTGATAGGGCCATCCTAGTGGATGTAAAGGCGTATCTCATTGTGCTATTTGTTTGATTTCCCCTAATGACTAGTGAGTGTTCATGTGCTTATTGGCTATTTGTGTACTTTTTTTTGATAAATGCCTATTCAAATTTGTTACCTATTTTTAAATTGACTTGTGTTTTATTGTTCAGATGGAAGAGTTTATTTATATGCTCTGGATGAGAGATTCCCATCAGATACAAGACTTCCGAATAGTTTCTGCAGGTTCTGTGCATTATCTTTCCAGTGACAGTGTCCTTTGGAACACTAAATTTCTTAATTTTAGTGAAGTCCAACTTTCTGGTTGCATGTGCTTTTGGTATCATACTTAAGAAATTGTTTCTTAATTCAAGATCACGACTACACCTATGTGTCCTTCTAAGAGTTTTATAGGTTTAGCTCTTACATTTATGTCTTTTGAGCCATGTTGAGTTAATTTTTGTGTCTAGTAAAAAGACACGGCTCCGATGGCACTCTTGTGCTGTGGATATTTCATTGCCCAACACTATTTGTTGAAAAACATTCTTTCCCCCACTGAGCAGTTTTGGCACCTTTGTTGAAAGTCACTTGATCATACGTGTAGGGTTTATTTCTGGACTCTCAATTCTATTCCTTTCATCTGTATGTCTATCACATGCTAATAGCAAACTGCTATCATTATTATAGATATAGTAGTAAGTTTTAACCTTATGAACTGTGAATCATCCCACTTTGTTCTTTTTCAAAAACTTTTTAGGTCTTTTGGATTCCTTGCATTTCCGTATGAATTTTAGGAACATCTTGTCCGTTTTCTTTCTTTTTATTTTTGGTTGGTTTTGTTTGCATTTTATTTTGTTTTTGTTTCTTTTTGAGACAGTGTCTTGGTATGTAATTCAGGCTGAACTTGAACTCACTATGTAGCCCAGGCTGGCCTCAAATTGGTGGCAATCTTCCTGCCTCAGCCTCCCAAGGGCTGGGATTACAAGTGGGTGCTACCGTGCCATTTTATCTTGCCCATTTCCCTTTCTCTTTTAATTTTCCTTTCCCTCATCACCCACATGTTATCCCTATATTTCTAACAATCTGTATGGTAGTTCCAGATTTGGGTTCCAAAGGAGGTGTCAGGGACCATGTGTCTGCATGAGTTACTTCACCTTTCTACAAGAATACTAAGATCTACTCTAAGAATCATTGCTTTAAAGAAAGATTGGATTAAATGCAATAAGCTTTTTGCAGTACTGGAGATTAAACCCAGGCCCGCACACTGAGCTATATCCTTGGCCCCCTTTTTATTTTTTATTTTCAGACAAGGTCTTGCTAAGTAGCTGTATTGCCTAAACTGGATCCAAACTTGCATTCCTCCTGCCTCAGCCTCCCAGAGTCCTGGGATGATAGGCATGTGCCACTATGCCTGGCTTAAATGTGACATCACAAAGCCAAAGGAAGAGCCTGGCTGTGGATTATTTGGTGACTCAGTTCACCAGCCTGTAAATAAGTTGTCATAACAAGAAGGACCATCTCTTTGGCAGCTTTTGGGCTATGGTGGACAGGCAGCTGGGGTTTGGGTGAACCACCTCATTCAGTCCTCACCATAACTCACCAGGTAGATGCTGCTGCTAGAGTCTAGACTGAGTCTAGAGTCTAACACTGAGGCCCAGAGGAGCTGAAGACCTTGGTTATAGAGAACAAGGCTAAGATTTCAACCTTGGCAATGACCCTCACATCAGAGGATGGTCTTGGGGGCCATGGCAACCGAACACCCTTCTCTGGGCTTCGTGTGGGCTCTGGGCTGACTTCCAAGCCTGAGGTCTTTTACCCACCACCTGGAACTCAGGCTGAGGTTGTGTCTCATCTGTTATGTGTTACTATAACAGACTGCCTCAGAGCTGGGTGCTTGATGAAGAAAAGAGATTTATTTCTTGCACTTCTGGAGGCTGGGAAGTCCGAGGTCGAGGGATCTCCATTTGGTGGGGGCCTGTTTCCTGTGTCATCCCATGTAAGAAGGGGAAGAGCAAAGAATAAGCACATGAGAGAGGAGGAAAGGAGGCCACACTCGTCCTTTTATCGGGAGCCACTCCCGTGTTCATGGCTTTAATCCAGTAAAGAGAGCAGAGCCCTCGTGACCTAATCCTTGTAAAGATCCACCTGTCAGCACTGCTGCATTGGACATTAAGTCGCCAACATGTGAACTGTAGGGGACACACGCACCACAGCAGGTGGGGGCATCGTGGCAGGACACCTCAAATGCTGCATCTCCCTCTCCCGTAGGTTCTTCAGGTATATCTAGCGGAGAGTGAGGAGCTGGGCTTTGGCCCACAACCAATCCAGGCACCCTTCATGCCTCCCTGAATACCTGCTATAACCTCGCAGTCAGCGTCCCTGTCCCAGCTGCTTCCCAACATACCTGCCGGTGGTCCGACCCTGTCCCTGGGCCACAGATCTGACCATTAATGCTGCACCCCAGAACCACGGGTAGCCACAAGATCAAGGCTGAGTTCCATGTGAGGGAAGCAGCACTGAATTCAGACAGAACTCACTTCAAATACCAGCTCTACTCTTCCTGAGCATGCTAACCCGCGGCTTCCTAGTGTGTACAATGGGAACGATTAGTGGCGATGAGGTTCTCAAGAACTTAACAATTTCCTAGGTGGTCAGGGCTCTGCTCCGGCCCCGCCCCTCTTCCCCTCTGCAGCCACCCTAGGCCCACAAGCCACTGCCTCATCCAGGCCGTCAGATCCAATGCCCATATCTGGGACTTGTCCTGAAATATGTGAAGTCATATCTGATCCAGGCTCTTGGCCCACTTCTCCCAGTCGTTTCCCGTCAGGAAAGTCTTTAAGGCTCCATACCACCTCAGCTACAGCACATTGATTGGCCCAGCTGCCGGGTCCGGCGCTCGCCATCGCTCATGTGTGGATCACCCCAAAGTGGAAAACAGGACAGCTGGCCCTGCTATGCCTCTTCAAGGGAAGGACCGCTGCCTCTGTGCTCAGCTGGACACAGCTCTGCTTCCTCCACCTTCTGCCTTTCCCCGGTGCTCACTCTGCCCCGACCCTCTGCTCCTTCTCCCCAAGGCCCTGCTTCCCTGAGCAGAATGCAGGAGAAGGACTCTCAGAGGGCACCTTGGCCGGGTTCCCCACATGTTACGTATTCTCAGGTGATTGTTGCCATTTTTGTCATACCTGCATACCATCTGTTCTATTATTTGCTCGATCTGTATGTTTATTTTGTAGACTCACCTGCTTTTTATCTGAGGGAAATCAGATATCACTACCGTATGGATAACTCTCTTATCAGACAGGCTGACAATAACAAAATGTCTTTAAAATAAGATGGGTAATGTCCATTCTTGTATCACCTGTGGTGTGGCTGGGGATAAGAGATCAGGTCAACACCCCACTTCTCAGATGAAAATACTGAGGCTAGGAGAAGGGCAGGGTGTGAACTGGAGCTGGGATAGAGGTGGAGTCTGGGGGCCTCCTGCTAGAACCTCCTTTTCCTCCCATTCTTACTTAGATCATCCTCCAGCTTTTGGATTCCAGCCCTTGAAGAGGAAGACTTCAGAGTCCCATTTGGGAACCAGGATAACTGTCCCCGTGATAGTTTCTTGTCTTTTTCCCTTCATAAAAGTGGCCTCTTCCTCCTTGTGAGTCAAGGCTGGCAATTCCTGCATTAACTGCCTCCCTAGAAGGACCACGAAGACTGGGTGTTTCTTTCAAGACCTTGGAGAAACTCCCAAAGGGTGTTACCAGCTGCAACCACCCACCCCCAGCCCTCCCACTCAGTGACCTTCAGCCGGCCTACGCGGCACGGTTGTGACAGTGGGAATCTCTGTTTTGCTCACCCGTCCCTGCTGTTTGCCCAGTCGTGCTTTCTTTTCCACTTCCTCCTCTCACAGTGTCCACTGAGTCACAAACCCAGGCCAACGAAGGGTTAAGGCCTTTGAATTGTGGTTTGGTGTTTTGTTTTGTTTTTTTTTTTTTTTTTGGTACTGGAAATCGAACTCAGGACCCTGCGCTTGCCAGGCAGATGTTGTGCCCCTGAGCTGTACCCCTGGTCCTGAATTGCTGAAGAGCAGAGTTCAGGATGGGTCATAAAACACAGGGATGAAAAGCCTCCGTGCTTAACAAGGGCTTCCCATAAATTTTCTCGTGGTATCCTGATTTCTAAGCCAGATGCCGACTGTCCCTGCTGCCTGAGGAGCAGCTGGAGTCAAAGAGGTGTGAGCAAAGCTAGTGAAACACTCCGGTGGGCGCTTGCTATTTTGCACTCCATAAATAAAGACAGTGAGACCCGGCACTTGTTGGCCTCCCCGACCTTGGTCTTTCCCCCACCTGGGGACCTGCCCACTGGCTTCTCTTTGTGCAAGAGCTGGTCAGACCCCTGAAGTGTCACCAGCGCAGGGGCAGCTGTCTCAGAGTCCATCCACCCTCCAGTCATGCTGCAGCACTGCCCATGGGATGGGGGGGCGGGGGGAATCTGCTTGAGACTCGGTGGAGGTGGAAGTGAGACTGATCTCAAGGTGTTCCGCTCGGGTGGGAGACAGAGACAGCCTCCCGGCCAAGGGCCAGGGGATGTGCTTCCTGGAAGCCCAGGAAGCAGTGTAGGTCATGCCAGACTTAGATTCTGGATCCTCCAGAAGGCAACGGTCAAAAGCTGCCTTGGGGTCGTATGTTTCTGAGCATTTCCCACTTCCCTGGTGCCTTTAGGTACTGCCTGTTGGGAATGCAAGACTGCTAAGACCCAGCGTGTGCCAACATCCAGTGGAGGCTGCGGCATGGCTGGGCTGTGCCCAGTCTTGGCCCCTGTCTTTGTTTATACCCATGCTTGGTCACATACCCGCCCTACTAGAAGCCTGTAGGGCCCGACGTATGGCATATGCCAGTGAGGTTCATGAATGAATAAATGAATGAAGATGGAATAACTGTACCCATGGGCAGCTGAAGAGAGGTGAGTGATGTACCCAGAATCCCACAGGGAGTGAGCAGCAGAGCCAGGATGCCCGTCATCAGCCCCTGACTAGGCACCCAGACCTCCGCCACCTGGCCCAGGAGGGAGCTGACCCTCCCCGCAGGCTCTTTCTGGTGTAGTCCCTGCCCTCTGCAAAGCCCTGACTCAGCTGGACAACAATTGAGCAACGATTTCCTCTTTCTTGACCGCAGGACTTTCAAGGAAGCCTAGAGGAGGCGGGAAGCTGATCCACGCACGTGTCTCCCTAGCTGCTCCTATAAAAGTCAGAGGGAGGAGGTTGGGGTGCTTTGCAAGGAAGTAGCTCTCTCCTCCTGCACCCCAACTCTGAGCCCTGAGCTGCCACTCCTCCCTCCAGGCCATGGCAGGCCCTGTGACCACTGCAGCCGGCCTCCTGCTCCTGGTCCTTTGTGCTCACTGCATCGTGCCCACAGGTGAGACGTCCAGCCCAGCCCGGGTCTCTGGGCAGGACAGGGTTACAAGGGCATGGCTGGGTTAGCACCACAGAGGGCAGAGGAGGAGGCAGCCTGGGGCGGTCCGTGAGTGCGTGGGGTGTCTGGTGAGGGGTGGGCTCATGGGAAAGGACACAGCTCTTCTCTGTGTCCCGTTTCAGACTCCGTGGGCATCCCCTTTTCCTGCTGCATAACCTTTGTTCCCAAGAAAATCCCTGAGGACTGGGTGGCAAGTTACCAGTTGTCCAGCAGGAGCGTCTGTCTCAAGGCGGGGGTGATGTGAGTATTCTCCGGGATGGGGCAGGGGACAAGCCTCCAGATCACCTCTTGGCCTTTCTGAGCCTCCGCTTCCTCAGCCATAAAACAAGGGGGAAGATTGAGATTCAACAGTCATTTGGGGGGCATTGCATATGTACAAGGTGCTGTTCCAGAGCACAGGACATCCCCTCAACAAATCCCCTCAGCAGTCCCATGGGGGAGGAGCTGGGTCTCTGGGCTCCTGGTGATTTCAGAGCTGCCTCTTACAACAGGTAGCAGTGGGGTCACTTTGTAAACAGCGGCATGCTATAGAGCCGTGATGGTGAACCTTTTATTTTATTTACTTATTTATTTTTGGTACTAAGAATCGAACTCAGGACCTTATGCTTGCCAGGCAGGCGCTGTGCTGCTGAGCTATCTCCCTGGCGGGTGAACATTTTAGAGACAGCACCCAAATTGCAACCCCAAACCCACTTATTTATCCCAGAGCGCCAACACTGCAATGAAACCTGAAGACCGAGGTTTTAGTTTAGAAAAAACAACTCACACATTAACATCTTTTGTCTTAAAAGAAACACAATAACACACACGCCATGGGTTCACCACCACGGCAACAGAGCATTAGGATTTATCATTCATTTTCCCCGAGCAGCATGAGGTTTTATCCATACCCCGGCATCCCCAGGTCAGAGCTGGCTTGGAGGGGGCACCCGTCCTTCCCTTCCAGCTCTGGCTTTCTCGCTGGCCACCCCTCGGTGCATACCACGAGCATTGGCGGCATTCTTATTCCGGGGGGTTTTATTGCATTTTCTACTCTTCCCTGTGGACAGGCACTGTGTCCCTCTTGTCAGATCCTGTGTGATGGAGAGGTCCCTGAACGAGCCGAGCACCCTCCCTAGACTAAAATAGACACATGGGAGGAGACAGGTGTCAGGAACCCACTGGGAGGCCAGGCTCCTACGCACATCCCCGTGAAGTGCCATGCGTGGTCCCGGGGCCCTGCTGGACCTCAGCCGAGCCCTGCCCTTCCTCCCCACAGCTTCACCACCAAGAAGGGCCTGCAGTTCTGTGGCGACCCCCAGCAGCCGTGGGTGCAGAAGTACATGAGGAAGTTGGACGCCAAGCGAAAGCGGCCTTCCCCGGGGGTCCGGGCTGTGGGTGGAAATGTCCCCACGCTGAGACGCCACGGTAACAGCACCACGCTCTGAACGCTGCCTGCCCTCTTGCCCTTTGCATGGCGCCTTGGGTCGGGGAGAGTTGGAGGAAAAGGGCAAGCGCTGATGTTCCCGTTGTGAGCTTCACTCTCAGGGAATCTGTCCAGTCTGTGAAAACCCTCAGGGAACTGGCTGCTTCCCCTGGGACAGAAAGGGCAGGGGCAAGGCCTTTGCCTCTCCCTCACAGCCCTGATTCTGAGTCCCCAGCGCCTGCACACAGCTTACCTGCACTGCCGCTGACAGCTGGCTCCAATGGCCCCTGGTGTGTTGCAGTGGGCCTGAGGCTGTCTGTCTGTCTGTCCTTTGGGATGGCGACCTGTCCACAGCAGCAGCTCCCCAGCATGGTGGGGGTGCTCCAGGCTGGTCCCACCTCCCACACTTGGAGGAAACAAAAACCCAACCAAAACGGGGGACTTCTTGGTAGCATTCACAGCCGGATCCTGGCCGTCCTCAGGCACCTCCCAAATTTTCAGCAACTTGAACGAAGAAAAGGACATGGAGGACCAGCATGAGGGAGGGCCCAGCCTAGGGGGATACACCTCTTTGTGAAGATAGGGCTTTGAAGAGATTTCTGCTTGGTGGCAGGGCTTGCTCCTGGCTTCTTTGAGTACAAAGAGCTGCTCTGCCTTTAATCCCGTGTCACAGAGGGGAGATGGGGTGAGAGCCGAGGGAGGCGAAAGGCTTCAAGTTTTTTTTTTCTATGCATGCGATACAGTGGGATTTGTTTGTCAAGAGTGTAGACACAGTCACTGTTCACAAGCAAGAATCCAAGTAAAATGTGATGTCTTCTTTGAAGGTGGTTGTGTCTCGTCTGTTCGTATCTTTCTTGAGAGCAAGGCTGGGCATGAAAAATGGGACAGGGCTGCAGAAGGTGTCCTGGTCTACCTGTCCCCATCTGGGAGGAGAAGAAGTCACCTGAGCCCAGGGCACCCCGCCATGAGCTTAGCCTGCCCTTGGGAGTCCTGGCACAAGACTTAAAAGGAAAATTCCAAGGCTGGGAGTATAGTTCACTGGTAGAGAACTGGCCTAGCATGTGCTAAAGCGCTGGGTTCACTCCCTCTCGCTGCAGAAATAAATAAAAGGAAAATTCCTTATGCCAATCAGTTTAGTAAATGACACAAATCTAGTGGCTCTCAGAACCAAAGCAGGGCTGGGATGTGACTCAGTGGTAGAGTTCTTGCCTCGCACGCACAAAGCCCTGGGTTTGATCCCCAGCACCACCCCACCCCCCAAAAAAGACCAAAGCAGATTCTGACGATTTTAACCAACAATTTGATGTGACAGCACTTTGAGAAAAAACGGTAGTGAGGTAAAGAAAATAACTTCATTGAGCTGGGTGGCATTCGTGCCTGGAGTTGGAAGGCTGAGACAGGAGGATCACCCTGAGTTCCAGGCCGGTTTGGACTACATGGGGAAAGCCTGTCTCAACAAAGGAAAAAGAAAGCAACTTAACTGGTCCCAGTTTAGTCAAAGGACCAATCAATTGGATACAGCTTAACTAGTTCATTATTCAGCTAGTACATGTTGGCTACAGAGCCTCTTGCAACCACCCAAAGCTGTTCCTGGGACGAAACTGTATTGGTTTGGTTTGTTGGGCCCAGAGCAGTTGCCAAGTTCCAACCCATGGCCTCCTGTGAAGTTTTATTCGACACAGGTTGGGCATCCCTTATCCAAAATGCTTGGCAGTAGAAGCATTTCATATTTCAGAGTTTTTCAGGTTTTAGCATATTTACATAGACTTTAACTTATTGAATACCCTCAATCCATCCTCAAATCCTAAATTTCATTGCATTTCAGATTTTGGATTTCTTGGAATTAGGGATGTTTGACTTTCATGAGCTTTTAAAAATGCACATTACACAACTGTATTTAATTAAATTTTAGTAAAATACATTATGTATTGCACAAATAAGCACAAGGGAGGCTATAAAATTATAAGTAGTAATCCCTGGCTTTTAAAGGACTGGGGAGAAATATAATTCACATTCATAAATCAAGAATGTTGCTGAATTAATGCAACTGGGCAGTGTGGCCTTATAAAAGAAAAAAAAATTTCAAAATATTGGAAAAAAAATTTTTTTGAAGCAGGGTCTTGCTATGTAGCCCAGGCTGACCTCAAACTTACAGCAATCCTTTGCCTCCTGAGTGCTGGGATTACAGGCATGTACCCCTACCCAGCTTAAAGAAAAATGCTTTTCCTACACTCACAACACTTTTGAAATCAAATGTGTAGAGTTTGTGTACCACGCTATTTTCAAATTCTCTGTGGACACCAACTGGTTCTTGTGGGAACCACTCAGACTGAGTCAAAGCTCGGGGCATGTCAGGATGCTCTGGACAGCCCTGAGGATGTGACCCTATGGTCAGCACAGGTGCACATTGGGGCACAACTATATAACCATGACTTAGCAGTGGACAACTATGCATGCTCCAATGAGGCCAGTGTGTAAGAATGTAAATAGGTGATAACGATGTGTAGAAAACGTGTGCAATAAAGATGCTCTTGCACTCTTGTGCTCTGGTCTGCTCTGCTCCATGCTGCCTGCTGTTGTTGCTGATGTCTTGCACACATGCATTCTTTAACCTGGGGATCTCACCCACGAAAATCTCCCTAGGGCCCCCTGAGTGGGCTGACATGTCTCCTACAATTTAATGCAGTTCTGACCCTACCTGGATTTATCCTTGCCACAAGGAAAGGGCCCAAGATATGGCCCCAATTTTGATGACAGTTGTAAGTGTTAGGTGCCCAGGGTACCCATGCCTTGGTCCGTCTTGGCTACTATTCAGTGTCCTTTTACTCCCACCCCCAGCTTTGATCACTTGTTGTAATGGCTCACAGGGAGACACTTTATGTCTTAGTTACTGATCTTTCATTGAGACAAAATACCTGATGCCCAGAATTAGGAATGAAAGGTTTATTTAGCTCACAGTTTGTGGAGGTTTTAGTCCATACTTGGCAGAGCACAACAGTTCATGGCAGTAGAAGACAGCAAAGCAACAAGAGCAAAAGGGAGGAGCAGCAGCAAGCAAGCCTCTTTCACTTGCTTATACTGTATGCAGGTTACCCACCCCAGGGTGGGTATAGCACCCATAATCCCATTGGACCGTGAGTCAATCAAAAGCTCTAGAAGCCCACCTCATGACTGCATGAGACTTTGGGGGGACATATAGACACAAACTATAACATTCCGCCCCTGGCCCCCTCAAAGACTCATGTGCATCCTTTTATGCAAAAGGCATTTAGTGCATCTGTAAGAGTTGCCAAAGTATGAAAAGTTTCAGTATTGCTAAAAAGTCCAAGTCCCATGTCTCCTTCAAGATGTAAGGCAAACTGTTAGCTGTGAGCCCCTGTACAAATGAAAAGTTCAACATCTCCAACATTCAATGGCATAAGTTAAACATTACCATTCCAAAAGGTACAAAGCATTGGGATCAAAGCAAGTACAAAATCCAGCAGGGCTAACATTGTCTGGTAGTTCCACATTCAACATCTGAGGCAATCTGTGGCAAACTGTGAGCTTCATGTGGTTCCACCTCTATGGCACTTCTGATGGCTGTAGCTCCCAGTTTCTCTCTTGGGTTCACTTTTCTCTCTCCTTGCAGCTTTCCTCAGACAATCCACATTCCTAGCTTCTCCAAACTTCTGGGTTCTGCACTGCACCTTTTGCTTCATATTCACAGCTTCGCATACTGCCCTCTCAGTGACACACTATCTGGCCTTCTTCTGAAATCTGGGCAGAAGCCTTTTTAACCTCAGAACTCTTGCATTCTGCATGCACATAAAACCAGCACCACGTGGATGACACCAAGGTCTGCTGCCACCTGGAGTAGTAGCCAGACTTCTCTCTCTTGGCTGTAGGGGTTGGGTGTCTGGATTGCTGGGGACTCTGAATCCAGTTCTGAGGAAGAAATTCTCTATACTGCCACCATTCTGGAACCTGGTACCGCTGCCTCCAATTTGGAACTTGGTGTGGCCGCCACTGCCATTCTGGAACATAGTACTCCGTAGATTTCTCTTCAAAGCAAAGTCTTATGCTTTTGCAGTTTTTGAGACTTGTTGCTTCTTGTGATGCCCTCAGGCCATCTTTTATATTCTCCTGTTTCTTCTCCACAATCAAGATTTCCTGAGCTCTGTCTCTGTAGTGCACAGCTTCACTGGAGCTCTTCTTTTCCTGGCCAAACTCACAATGTTTTAAATCATCCTTCAGGGCTCTTGCTCTTGATTCTCAACATAAATCTGGCTAAAAGCCCCCGTCAATAGCCATGCACTGCCTCAACATTCCACTGTCTTGAAATTTATTTTTTTTTTTTTTGCTAGCTTAATTAGTCCACCACCCTTAGTCTCAGACTCAGGCAAAGTCTCTGGACATGAGCAAAATACAGACAAACTTTTTGCCAAGCCAAAACATACATCATCTGGAGTCCAACAACCAATGCAGCCTTTCTTCCCAGCAGAAACCTCCTGAGCCTGGTCTTTACCAATAGGATTTCTATCAGCCTTCTGGTCTTTTGAGCTCTGGCCAGAATCTCCCATACAGAACAGCCAAAAGCCTTCCAGCTGTACTCTTTCAGGTGACATCGCCAAACCTTTCCCAATTCTTTCCACAAGTCATTCCCAAAGGCTCTTGAACCACATCATCAGGTATAGTCACAGCAATGACCCCACTCTTGGTACCAAATTCTGTCTTGGTTACTTTTTTCTCATTGTTGAGACAAAATACCTGATGCTCAGAATTAAGGAAGGAAAGGTTTATTTAGCTCACAGTTTGTGGAAGTTTCAGTCCATAGTCCATACTTGGCTGGCTCCAAGGCAGAATGGCCCATGGCAGAGGGCAACAGTTCAGGGCAGTGGAAAACAGTAAAAGCAGCAAAAGCAAAAAGGGAGGAGCAGAAGCAAGCAAACCTCTTTCCCTTGCTTATATTGTATGCAGGATACCCGCCCCAGGGTGGGTGTAGCACTCACACCCATAATCCCAGTGGACCATGAGTCAATCAAAAACTCTAGAAGCCCACCCCATGACTGCATGAGGTTTTGGGGGACATCTAGACACAAACCATAACACTTTACTCAGGTTAACTGGCTTACCTTAAGGTTATGATCAAGTTTACGAAGGAAGAGCCAAAGGAAGAGGTGATAGGACAATATCCACAAAGGTTCTCCCCTCAGAAGCTTCTGTCCCTGTGGGGTTGGGATGCACTGCCCTCCCGAGATATGCATGTTTTCACCAGCTTGGAGGCTCTCCACTCCCACCATTTAGAGACTTATGGAGGCTTTATCACTTACAGTCAATTGATTATCTCCTATACCCTGCCAGGTATAGGAGAATGGAGGTAGTGAGGCCATTCTAATCAAAGCTGGGTCACAGTCCCCCACCAGTCCAGGAGCCATCAAGAGCCACTGAATTAGAACAAAGACTCAGGGGGCTCCAGAGGACCTAGGAGCTCATGTGAGATGCTCTTATCACTCAGGAAGTTACAAGGGTTTTACAGTTCTGTGTCAGAAAAACAGGAGCCAGAGACCAAATATATATTTCTTATATTATATTACATCTTAAAATGTGGTGTTTAGCCTCACTAAGCTGCAATTTATCTAACCTGTAAAATATAGATAAGACATTTGAACTTCATTTGGGATTCCCTCCTGAAGCAAATCCTGAAGCAAAGATCTGAATACACCATAGGAGGAATAGGGAACAACAGCAGGAGACGGGGAGGGATACAAGAAAGGGGAGGCAGAGCTCAGTCCATGGGACCTGGGGTGAGGCACACCCCTCTGAGTTACCCTCCCATTCCCA